AGGTTTTAATGATAGATTTACAGTTGAAAGTCAATAAATTCTTTGCAGAGCGCGGATCAGCTGAGAGAAACACGTCCACTCTGTAGGTCGTTAATTAGTTTTTTTCAGGTACAATCGAAAGTATACAAGTATGTAGAGAAACTATTTGGAGTATAGAAAATGCGACAACTATACGAAGATTATGAACTTCTCCTAGTTTGAAAGAGTATAGTAATATAAGTACTATACTATAGGAGTATACAAAGTATACGTATTATAAAAAAAGAACGTAGAATCTTTTTGGCATCTTTAGAAATACTGGCTTTTAGCCCTTTTAACTTTCTGTCTGATGTACCTATTTTTTCAGTTTGATACTACTTGCTGGAGGAACAGTATTTCTAAATAAATGTCAGGTCTGATCTATGAATTATTTTCCGGACGATTACTCGAAATCTGATACCTCTTTTGTGACATAGATGTACAGTTTCTGGGAGGCTGTTTGTATTATCGGTTTAGGGCTGTCTAATCTCCTTTGATTTTATAAGACTTTTGTAATACTGAAAGAAATTGCTCCATACGTGCTTCTTCGAGATAGTGATAGGAAATTGTTCAACATTACAGGGACGTTTGATGATATTTTGGTGGGCTTTACTGGTTGTGATGAAATGGAAGAATTTAACAGTTTTTGGCTGCAGAATATGTCAACGTTGTTTGGTGTGTTTCACAGAAGTGTAACGTTTTTGCTGGTGTGTTGTATTTAAGCAGTTCTCTGTTTAGATGATGATGATGCTGATGATGTGATATTTGTCGAAGAGCGTTGTGGTAACTGGAATGGGTTTAATGGATGTAGTAAGCTAATTTCTCTCTTAAGTATTCAAGATCGCGTTTTCTGTATTATTACCACCTGGTGATGAGGTGATATTCATAGAAGAGCATTATGGTGACTGGAGTGGGTTTAATGAAGATGGTAAGCTAGTTTCCCTCTTAAGTAAAGCGCCTCTAATTGACTAATTCAGCACAGTTTTATTTTTGGTTTTCTTATACATCATTCGATAGAGAATTTCACGCAAATCGGGAATATCATCTTTTAGCCTCTCCGTTTTCAGGGAGAGACATTCGAAATCAACATCGGGAAAAAAAAATTTCCGGATTTAACATTGAAAACTGAATTAGGAAATATGTTGGAGATTTTTGCATATGTAATGTGATTGCAGGAAAAATTCGTTTACATGCATCGCTCTAAAGCGAAGACTTCTCCGTAAAAAGCTATGTAGTTTTTTGTATTAATAGATGGAGCTCTAATTCTTGCGCCACTCGCTTGGCGTTGATTTGCAGTACAAAAATATAAATCACTTTTGTTGTAAAATTTGTTTCATTCCTGAGAAAGTACATTTTTTCTGAATCAGGAGCGAAAAAATCTGCCGGTAATTCTTTAGTTTCTCCATCAGAACTCACTTTGTATGCAATAAAAATATCATATTCAGAGTTATCGTCGAACAAAAATAAAAATGAGCTGAGCTTTTGAATTAGCGGCGCTTTATTCAACAACGGTTTCCTATATTATTTCTCTGTTTAGATGGTGGTGAGGATGATTTAATGTTTATGAGGAATGTGTGTAAACTAGTGACGTAGCCAGGATTTTGTTAGTGGATGAGCGTTGCCCCAAATTTTTCCAAAGTGGTAGACATTAGCACAGATTAATGTGAATTATAAAACTTTTAGTGGGTGGGCAAAACCAATTAGTGGGTGGGCTGAGAAGGTGGCTACGCTACTAGTGTATTCGTAAGCTATTAGTTCCAAAATGCCGAAATATGTTTGCAGTAACAACGTCAGAACGTGTAATTCCTTGTCGACGAATCAAATGTGCTGAAACAGACGAACAAATAGAACTACAAATGTTTCATGAAGTGTTACGAATAATGGGATGTACCGATGCTATATATTTATTAGATTATAACAACTGGTAACATAATGATTTAACAAAATTTAAAACAGGTTTGAAAGAAGCAATTTCCAGTGATCAAAAAATGTTTGGCAATGAACATACGAAAAACGTTGAGAACAGACTTAATTTTTCCTTGTTGGATTGTGAACTGAGAAACATCAATCACAAAGATAAGAGCGACGAAGACGATGATGGATTACCATCAGCAGATGTGGTAATTGGGATTTATATCGTGGAATGAGAAACTTTGTCCAAAACCTGCAAAGAAAAAATCAATAACCTTGAAGTTAAATAAATATTCCGTTCACACTTAAATTTAAACTTAAGGAAGTTATCTTTTAAGTTTTTTGTTTGTATTATCATTGATATTTACTTTCATAGCATGATAGAAGAAAGTGTGCTCTTCAAAATAAGATGTTTTCCAGAATTTTCCGATAAGTTTTCTTAGAAATATAAGCATTGCTGCAAATGCCCTGAAAAACAGAGCCCTGTAATAAGTGTTTTTCTCACTATACGCTTTTTTAATAGTCCCTTCAATTGACACACATTAAGACCCCTCGAAAAAATCGTCCGATCGAGCTCAAAATTTTATCACAGATACTTCAGACCCTATCTAAGGTTTGTTTTTTTCTTTTCGAAAAATATTCTTTCCTTCTCGAGGTATCCGAAAAATACTGAAAATCCCATATAAAAAACCGGTTTTTCATTTTGTAAACCTTCTCACGCCGAAAGTTGAAGTCGAAAGCGCTTTTTAAAAAAAGCGAACCTGAGATAGGGTCTGAAGTATCTGTGATAAAATTTTGAGCTCGATCGGACGATTTTTTCGAGGGGTCTTAATGTGTGTCAATTGAAGGGACTATTAAAAAACGTATAGTGAGAAAAACACTTATTACAGGGCTGTTTTTCAGGGCATTTGCAGCAATGCTTATATTTCTAAGAAAACTCATCGGAAAATTCTGGAAAACATCTTATTTTGAAGAGCACACTTTATTCTATCATGCTATGTATAAGAAAAAGTTTGAATATATAGAAAAGAAGAGAAAAATGTACGTACCTAAAAAATTGCGATTTTCTAGGCTTTGAAGGAAAAACTTAAAAACTTCATAATTTTTTCAAGGAAGGTCATGGAGAGCTGGAAGTGGTCTCATTTTATAGCCCAGACTTTCCTCTACATTAGACCTTGCTCAGCTCAAAATGACAACTTTTTTGCAAGAAAGAGGGGGGGGGGGGGGGTGCCCGTTATTGAATTTAAAGGGGGGTTAAAACCCCAGCGGNCCCCCCCCCCCCCCCCCCCCCCCCCCCCCCCCCCCCCCCCCCCCCCCCCCCCCCCCCCCCCCCCCCCCCCCCCCCCCCCCCCCCCCCCCCCCCCCCCCCCCCCCCCCCCCCCCCCCCCCCACCCTTAATGAAATTGAACTCTGGTTAATACACAACTCGGTGTCTAAACTCAATCACTCGTGGGCATGCATTATATTAATGACAAAGCATCAATTGTTTATTAATATTTCTCCCTCTTAAGCTAGAACTACTTAGTCTTTATCTAAATATTTTAACCTTGAAGGGTAACTTCGAAAATGAATTTCTTGAGATTCCCAACGAAAGCATCTGAATTTTTAGAGAAGACTCGCTTCTTCAAAGTATTTTTCTTAACGATTGACATCGAGATTATCCTAATCCTATACAAAGTACTGCTCTAAATACATGTAAATATACGACAGATGTCCTTCTACAACCTGGCGCAAGTCCCAGGTCTCCAGCTACCGTGGTTCTGGCGCGCTACGGGCAACCTCCTACCGGCTAAGCGTGAACCTTGGGAACCTCAAAAGTACATGGTACATAGACTTTCGAGCACGCTGAATCTCGTGGCAATGTTTGTTTTGTTGTCCGGATAAAGGAAACTTCAAAAGATGAATTTTTTAGAAAATTCAATTTTCCTTCTATGATGTACTAAAATAAAAACCTTCTAGCACCTTCATTTCTCAACTAAATTGCTTCAAATGTTCAAAACTCGCTCAGTTTCGTCTGCTGTACAGTTTTAGGAATGTTAGAAATATTTCTTATCCTGTGATTTCACCTAAACATCCTCAGAGGTTTTCCGAAAAAACTATCAAAGACTCTCTTGGTTTTTGTGATTCTGGTCCTGAGATCGGATAGAATACCTTGTCTTATGCTCACTCTTCAATTTTTATGCCATTTGGTTGAAAAATGAAGGAGCTAGAAAGTTTTTATGGTCATAGAGGAAAAATTGAATTTTCTAAAAAATTCATCTTTTGAAGTTTCATTTATCTGGACAACAAAGCAAACATTGCCCCGAGATTCAGCGTGCTCGAAAACCTTGCCGCCAAGACTCAAGTTTTCGCATGCAAACATTTCGATTTTAACTTTGGCCGACCAAAATCAGAATTCCAGTTTGAGCTGGCCAAATTCTTGGCTTGGTCGTAACATATATTTAAGCAGAAAACAGAAGCCATTGTCAAAACTGAAAGTGTAGAATCTTGATTTTTCAAGTTTACTTTATCCGTACATAACAAAGCATAGATATTACTAAAAACTTTCCAATTATTCATATATAGCACCGAGCGAGGGAGAGAGGATACGAAGAGAGCGACAGCAACAGGCACGAAATCGAATATGTTCGCAAACAAACCACATCAACACCAACAAAAGATCAACACGAGTTCAAGAAGTACATGTTTTAAACAAGTATTAGATAATTTTTTTCAACTGTGTGTAAGAATCTAGAATCGAAATTGTTCTAGTGAGCACATGTTACTATTAGAAATCGTTACTTTAAATAAACGAACATATAATACTTGCTTGATATCACCATTCTAACGTCTTTTAGATGACTTTTTTAATACATATGAACACTCGTTTTGAATAACACATTTCAGAAAAACGAGATCGGGATATCAAGCTTTCGTTATTCGACAGCTTAGACAGATGCACGTAGTTCTATGGAAACTTTTATTTCTGGAAAAAATGAAAACTGTTTTTTTATTTTAGAATACAACGGAGTTATCAAGAGTCTTCTCTATTGTTCCTCAGAGCTTTAAACCGAAAAGCCCACTGAACAGCTGGTATGTGGGCAATGTTTAAAACTGACTAGTCTGCAAGACTCCGACACCAGCTGGTGCTAAGACCATTGGTGTGCGACGCACATGTCATTATACGTAATAAACAATGAAAAAACAGAAAAAAATATGTATTTCCTAAGATGGGTTCGAACCTAGTACCTAGAAAAAAATCGTCAATTAATTGCGATTAAGCGCACGATTAATCGTATGATTTTTCACGATTAATTGCCGATTTTTAGTACATGGGATATGTCATCCCACGTCCTGCAATTCCGTAGAACTCAAACTCTGAAAAATAAGGAAAATCGCCTCCAGAAGTTCTTGTTTTCTGGCATTAAATGTTTTTTAATCTCAATTTTAACCACTGTATCGGATAGAGCTTGAAAAGACGGGGCGAATACATATCATGTTGTCTTGTGTTGATTTGCTTTTATGGAGAAAAAATGGTTTACAAAAAGGCCTACTTTTCGGAAAAAAGGACTTTTTTAAAACTTTTCCTAAGAATGTACTGAACATTTTGGAAAATTTTGTCCGCTAGTGATTTTGTAGCTCTGCACGTATATAATCTAATCTGATGGTACCAGCTCATGAAAATGTTTCATTAGAAAATGATGAAAATGACCACAAACGGGCTGTTCTGCTGGGAAATGGGAGTTCCACAAGTCTAGAAGGCCGTCATTGTTTTAAAATTTTTTAAACATGATATTCGTCATCAGGAGCCCGAGTTGTATTAGTCCTCTTACTGTCGAACAATTTGGACATGGTCGATGTAAACGTGGTACGTTCTCGAAAGAATCACACCCTAGAGGAACCAGAAGAGCACAAATATAACTATTCAGAAAGTGCAAATATGTTTGTTTCCTTTCATGAACTTATAGACCAAATGGATAGTATTACTAATGGATAGTTATACTATTCCTTAAAGGAATATCTTAATTCTTTGTGACTCAAGCAAAGCACCTGTTGAAGCCACAGAATCTATATTTCTTTAGTGGTGTTGATCCCGAAAATGAATGGGCATATAAGTTATCAAGTATCCTGAGTTTTATGCCAGTGATTGTTTTAAAAAAAAGGAAGAATAACCTGATTTCAACCGATATTAGAATTAATAATCCTTTTTTAACTATTTTTATCAAACCAAAAAATTCAACACTTACTGATGGAATCGACCCAAACCACTTTGGAAGCTCAAGATATACACTGTCGATCAGGCAGATATTCTAGAGCAATTTTTTTCAGTCTAGCTTTTGAGTCATATTTACCAAAAACTGTTACATCATGCAGTGACGATGCTTGATGTTTACTGTGGACATCTATGGCCGTGCAATTTTATTGGAAAAAGGTTAAGACGTATAATGCTGAGAAAGGAAAGGTGACCAGAAGAAAAGATCAATCAAAATAAAAAAATCAGACGGGTATTACTTAATGAATAAACAGTAACAATCATTCATCAAATTATTTTGTTTACTGGTTTCTGGAGAATATACTAAATATTAAGGTTTTTTCATGGTTCAAAAAATGCCTATGGTCACAGATGCCATAAAGTTAAAGGACACAGAGCTTGAACCAGTTGCAGTTGATACTAAAATTGTTCAATGTTTAGTAAGTAGTTTTTAGGCAACGACTCACTCACTGCTTATCTTGTATGTTCTGAATTTAAGCCAAAAGTGTCCGAAGGATGTCGAGTACCGGTATTAATGGATATACAAAAGGCCTATGGTATGTTCTCTACAAATAATAGCAATTTCTTTACGAAACCATTCATTTCACCGGAGAAAGTATATTATTAGCATCCATGTTTTTGCGGTCTTACGGCATGGTTTTTATCTTATGTCGTTAGCAATGTTGATCATGTAAGGGGGATAAAAAAAATCTGACCTCAATAACATCATCCTAAATTTCATCTAGTGATTCCTTAATTTATTTATGTTTCTGTCTTTTTCAGTTCCGGCCGAAATTGTCAGTACACGTGAATTGAATGGCATCCGAGAATATTATATTCATTACGTTAATTTTAATCGTCGTTTGGACGAATGGGTTACAGATGAAAAAATGAATTTAAAAGAACTTTGTTTGCCAACAACTGCAGCTAATACAAGTAACTTTTATTTATTGGATACTAATTTAGACGACAACGAGGATCTAATTTTTCGCTTAGCATGTGTTGATCTTTTTGTTTTTTAAATTATAATGAATGTTGTGGAAGTAAACGTAAGACCATCTCGTTCGTCATAATTTGCATAGCTGTGAATACATAGGCATTCAGAAGGATTGATCTCTCTCTTTTCAGTAAATGAAACAACAACTGTCACAATCACAACAACGACACAAGAAGTTACAACACTAATATCTCCTCCACAAACTCCTCTAGTACGAACAAATTCTAGTCATGCACTAGAATCGCAAACACCTACAATTATATTAACGGATGGAGCGGATCTAATGTCAAACCAGAGCCAAAATGGCGATTCATCAGCCGCAAGAACAAATGATACATCAGGAAATCCATTACCATCAATTAATAATACATCATCTACATATGGGGGAACAGGAGCACGAGGAAATGGTCATTATGGAGCTGTACATCAAATAACAAAAGTTAAGAATATTAATTGTATACATTTGGGAAGATATTATATAAAACCATGGTACTTCTCGCCGTACCCAGAGGCAAGAATAGATTCATTTCTATCAGTAGCGAGACAATGAATGATGTGCCAAATTATGTATAATTTTAAAAATTCACTTGTTTTGCTTATTTACGGTTTAGGATATTACATTTTGTCCAGTTGTTTATATATGTGAATTTTGTTTAAAATATTGCAAAGATTTAACAGCTCTCAAACGTCATCGTGTAAGTATAACTTTGTGTGCACTAGTCGTTTATTTCTTCTTGTTATTTTTTGTTTTATGTTTTAGACAAAATGTACAATAATACATCCGCCTGGGAATGAAGTATATCGTAATGGTACAATATCATTTTTTGAGATTGATGGAAGAAAAAATAAGAGTTATGCTCATAATCTATGTTTATTAGCAAAATTATTTCTTGATCATAAAACATTATTTTATGATACAGATCCATTTATGTTTTATATATTGACAGAATTTGACAATCAAGGATTCCATATTGTTGGATATTTTTCAAAAGTATGCACAGATAATGTAGCTTTACCGTTTTACATTCTTGTCAGTAGAAGATAATTCTCTGATGTTCTTTTTACTATGAATAAGCACGCAGCTATATCACACTGTATTCTGATGTATTATATACGATAAAATGTTTTTGTTAGTAATACAGAACTAATTATCCGCACATCTTTAAGACCGAAAATAGAGAGGAGCAACGTCACTATTGCTGCTTTTTCGTTTAGGACAAGGAGTCCAGTGAAGATTACAATTTATCTTGTATATTAACACTTCCACCCTATCAAAAGAAGGGTTATGGTCATTTTATGATTGAATTTAGTAAGTTTTTATAATGTGTTATCTGCACCATTTCTCAACCTAATTTTTATCTAATTAGGTTACACATTATCGAAATTAGAAAACAAAATTGGAACGCCTGAAAAACCATTATCCGATCTTGGCTTGTTGTCGTATCGTCGGTATTGGTCTGAGGCAATTATGGAAGCGCTATTAAATGTTCAAACAAAAGAAGGAGAAGAATATCCAGCATTATCGATCAAGTAAGAAGTAGAGGATATTTTAGAGGCAGAAATGCATAAGAAACCTTATCATAACACTAGAAAATACTTTGGTTTAAATATGAATTAATATACATCTTCGATTTTTGGCTTGAAATCTTTGAGACATGGCACAGCATCTCCACCTAACTACTTCTAATTGAAAAAACTTGAATTATGCACTGGATTTACAAATGTGAGGGCAATCGATACGTCTAACGAGGGAACCTCTCGAGGTGATTAAAAGCTTTTCGACTCAGACTATTTTCATCATATAGGGAATAGTCAGCAGTGAAAAACCCCAAGTTGATTTGGGCCCATGCGTCTTTTTCACGGAGATATGAGTTAATTAATGAAAATGCCATTGACAATAATTAATTAATAGTTCACGACCACGATCAGCCAGGAGTCGGAAATTTTCACCACAGTTGAAGATAGATGTTGTCTACTCACTGCGACACTTTTAGGCTTATAAACCAAAGCTTTTGCAAGATATGAACTTTTTATGATTTAGACAGCTTTTAGTGCAAATTCACCATTGAAAACCTAAAAACTTGTTATCACCTTTTAAGTACCTCTGTTCACGCTGCAGAAGCTCAGCGGCTCTTAGGGACCTATATCTAAATGAAATAAGTCTTTACTGAGTCGATAGATGTATCTAAAAGGTGATAACAAGTTTTTAGGTTTTCAATGGTGAATTTTCACTAAAAGCTGTCTAAATCATAAAAAATTCATATCTTGCAAAAGCTTTGATTTATAAGCCTAAAAGTGTCGCAGTGAGTAGACAACATCTATCTTCAACTGTGGTGAAAATTTTCGACTCCTGGCTGATCGTGGTCGTGAACTATTAATTAATTATTGTCAATGGCATTTTCATTAATTAACTCATATCTCCGTGAAAAAGGCGCATGGGCCCAAACCAACTTGGGGTTTTTTACTGCTGATTATCCCCTACATGATGAAAATAGTCTGAGTCGAAAAGCTTTTAATCACCTCGAGAGGTTCCCTCGTCAGCGATGAACTAAATGAGTATGAAAAAACTCTACGTCCGTTTTTACTCGTTGAGTAACATGTTTCATTGCAGTATATTTTCTTTTATGTCTCTTTTGTATATTTTTAGTGAACTAAGTGAATTAACATCTATAAAAAAAGATGATGTTATGGCGGCGTTACAGAATATGAGTATAATTCGTTATCAACAAGGCAGTTATATATTATCGGTAACAAAAGACGTTTACGCAACGTATCAGTCGAAACGACGTGCAAGAGTTGATCCAAAATGTTTAATGTGGCAACCCGCCAAAGTGAATGCCGCTACACGACAACCATCACTATATATTTCCAAGTAGTTTTCTTTTGTACATATTGTATAGTTTTGATTTTGATGTGTAGATTATCGTTGTTGCTATTGTTTTCGTTTCTATATAAGTGATTCTCTAAAAAAAAGGTTTTGTATTAAACCAGGGTTTTATTTTTGTGTTTTACAGAATGTTTCTGTAATCTAAATAAATATTTAAGTTGGAATGTGCGAAAAGTTGTGGACAGTTGTTAACCTCTATGACATAAAGGACGTAAACTCATATTAATGGTGGAAGAAAACAGTATTGTGGCGATAGGGGACTTATGGCCCTCCCGCTTTTCGGTTTAATACGTTCTCTGGATTTTTTTTCATATACCCGGGCAAAAAAAAGTGTGAATCGTGAAGATTGAAATAACTGAGAGAAAAACATTCTCCCATTGATTCTCTCAACTAATTTTGAAGATGACCTAAATCGCCATTCTTTTTCAAATTTTTACCTTTCTTCTAAAATATTTTAGAATTTTCCCCAGAACTCGCACCCTTCTGATTTCTATTCTCACTACAGCACTGGAGGAAATAGTCTCAATATAGTAAAGAGAAAGTTGTACTGGAAAGATATTTCTATTCCTTTCACAGTAGCGCAAAGAGAATTCTGTTTTACTTACTTGTGATATTCGACTTCTATATGATCTTAACTTTGTTGAAGCCAAAACTTTCTGGTAGAAGCATCCATCTGCCCCTGCAGCAATTGCACAGCAAATTGTCTACACAGACAAGTGCCACTAATAAATGTATTAGTTTTTTCTTTATCATACCGTGAGAGAAAACAACATCGATAAGCATAAAGAGTTTTATTGTGCGAATCCTTGACAGATTTTGTGTTTGTTTTAAGTCCTTAAGAATGAACGAAAGATATATCGTCTTTTTTTTGTAATCACTATAATAAAGCTAAAAGAAAAAATAAGACCGCGATTACACATACTTCACGAACCTTCCTCAATGATGGGACGAACTTTTATATATGATTCAGAGAAATGCAGGTGAAAAACTGAAGTAAAAACACACTTATTGAATTGAAATGTCACATAAATACAACTCAGTCAAAACTAAAGGACATCATATGTCCCTTGTAACTTCGGTGCATCTGAAAAGACGCGTTTTATAAAGATAAATTTCTCAGACGCGTCTAAACGCGCATGAGAGAGTCACCATTAAACGCGGCTTCAACTATTTTCATCAAATACGCGCCTTAACGCATTTTTGTGAGAATATGTTACAGGCGCCTCTAAACGCACATAAGAAAGACGCGTCTAAACGCGGCTATAAAACATTTTCGTGAACAGACGCGTCTAAACTCGTGTTTGTAAGAAGAATTTCTACGGCGCGTCTAGACGCACATTACAAAAACGCGTTTAAGCGCATCTTCTAATTGCGACCAAAATCAGACTTAGTTTGACACGCTTTACCAAGGGATGGTCTTTCAAAACGAATTAAGGCGCGCCTGTTTAAAAATGTTTTGAAATCGGGTTTCAATGCGTTTTCTTAAGGATCATTTCTTAGACGCGTTTAGATACACATTGAAGAGACGCATTTAAACGCGTCTTGAAGCGTGTGGGAAAGACGCGTCTAAACATAGTGAAATGGTGTAAATTCAATGTATGCAGACGGGTCACCACATGCGTCTCGAACTAAAACTATTTACATGGTGTGTGGCTTGTAGCGACCTCGCTATCCACTGGGTACACTTGTGCATACGTGGTAACAACTACATATAAGCCTCTCGATATCCTTGAATTCGTAAAGTTCTGTTCAATTTTAGTAGCAAAGATTGCATACATGTTGAGCAGCAGGTTATGAAGTGTCAAAATGACATTTTCATTGGTTTTCTTTCACTCGTGCCTTAGCTGTTTCCGACTTAAGTGGATATGGCAAAAAAAAACGGGAAAAATTACATGGTGTGCAGTTTTATGCGCCGCTCAACCCGTCAAAGTTAAGCGGCTTAGGTGTGACTTTACTTTTCATCTAACTAGCCTGCTTAAGTCAAATTTAAGTTGTGTACTATGCACATGGTCTGATGTTCATATTGTTTCCTTTTAGCTCCAAATAGTAGGATCAATGCGAACTAATATAGAGAGTCTCTCCTTAGAACTAAAAGGAAACAAAATAATGGTCAGAAAATAAATTGTTTGTTTTTGCAATGAATATTGGTATTTTTGCTCCGATATGTGACGAAATAACTTTTTTCTAGCTGGAATCAAGTTATTCTAGCATTTTATAGTTTATTTAGCTCAGTTTTCTCTCGCTGAGAGTTCAGCACTGCTTTTGCTCGCCTTGATATAGGCTTTATTCTATCAGAATACAAGTGGAAAAATATTCCATTATAGTATCCTAAATTAAAACTATCGAAAAACACACAAAAACTGTTCCCTCTCATATGATGAAATACGGACCGAATCACGGCAGTATTTTCTCCGTTTGTGGCCGTAAATACACCGTTTTTTCAGTCTAATGTAACGTTTTATTATATATCTGATTGCAGTTTTCCAAACTGTTGAGACTTTATTTAATTTTTGAATTCCTCTGCTATTAAGGATTGAATATTTTGGCTTACGTGCTATTTATCACAAATCGAGTGAAATATACTTGTTTCTTCCATTTCAGATGCCATCACTATTTGAGCATCTTCCAGATGAAACTTTACTTGATCTATTCTCTTATTTGAAGCCGTGTCAAGTTATTCAGATATTTTTTGACTTAAATTATCGTCTTAATCGAACATTAGCTAGTTATCGTCGAGATGTTAGACTGGCAAAATTATCGTTGCATGAATTTGAACATGTTTATTGTGGACAAATTTTACCTCAATTTTATTCTACTATTCGCACACTAAGGTTAAACAATCAGTATACACTTGGCTTATTATGTAAGGAATTTGAAAAAATATTTAAACTCGATTATTTTATTTGTTTAAAACATTTGTCGTTTGATCATATCGATGCTGAAACATTAGAGGCTTTTTTATGGCGTATCCGCGAATTAAAAGGTTTAGATATTCTCGAAATTACAATAGACAATGAACAAAATAAAAAACTACCATTAGAGTTTGATCAATTTTTATGCGGAAAATTATTGACAAATGATACATGTTTTAGAACATTATCGATTAATATGTCAAATTATGGATTTAACCTAGGTAAATAGATCGTTTATGTTTAGAAATTTAGAAAGAGGTTTTTTTTCTATATTTATATTATTATTTGTTTAGAAAAGGTTGGAACGGTTGAAAAGGTTAAAGATTGCCCAAATATAGTAAATTTAACTATTCGTATTCAGTCATTAAAAGATTTATATATTTTATTTGATCATTTACCCAATATTGAATGTTTAAATATTGAATTATCTGCAAATATAGCTATTACCAATATAAAATACGAATATCCATTTGACCGTTTATATTGGAAAGTACGTTATCTAAAACAATTTCATCTTTCAATTATTTCACAAGTCTATCGACAAGATTCATTTATTGAATTTGATCTAATTAACAACATTGTTGGTAATCTCGCAAATGTACCATTAGAATATTTTCGATTTTCACTTTCACATACATTTACTAGTTTTGATCGAACAATTACAATATCAAATAAACTATTTTTAGACTATCTCAACGGTGTTATATGGGAACAGTTATTGAAAAAATTACAAAAATTAACAAGATTTGAATTAAATATTGAATATCATTCAATTCGTTCATGGTTTGCTTCTAACGAACAAATGCATTATGAATTTTCTCAATATTCAATTAAAAATGGTATGCAGTTTATTTATTTATTTTTCTAATAATAATCTCAATGATAAAGATTAGTTTCTAAAGTTTCAAACATTTTAATCAGAAATTGAAAAAAAAAGAGGTATATAAACCTTTTTATGGCTGTGTTCTCTTAAACTTTTAGAAACATTTTCCTCTGACTACTGGTTACACAAAGGTTGGTATGTAAATTATTGTCGAACATCATCTCAACTTATATTATACACATTACCATGTCAAAGTAATAGTTTGTCACGAACAATTCCTTGTATACAAAATGAATTATCGAACAACAATTTACGTTTTGTTTCACATCCACGAGTAACAGAACTTCATTTAAGTCAAACAGAAAAACAAGCCGAATATTTAGCATTTTCATTATTAATAGAAAAATATCCAAATATTCAAACATTATCTTTCAAAGATTACATTCCGTTTGTATTCCCCACATCTTCAACACCCACCGTCACTATTACTCTACCAATAAAAAAGTATGTTACTCTACTATTTTCTACAAGCTCTATTTATATCTATTTACTCTCATATTTTAGAGAAGAAAGCAAACAACAAAAATTAAAAACAACTAATACACAAAAAGTCATCTATAGAAAAATTCGTTCTATTTACTTTGATTATTATTGTACAGATTATTTATATTTTAAATCACTATTATTATTGTTACCAAATTTATCAATATTAAGAATAAACATGCGCATATTTGATTTCAAACCATTGGAAGAAGAAGAAGATTTCATAAAAGTTTTAAATGGCCTAAAAGATGTTCAATTGAATCAAGTCAATGTAAATGATATCGAAATGATTTTACGATTATTCTCAACTGTCCATTATTTACAAATTATAACGGATCAAGGATTCTATCTAGGTATATTTGAAGAATTAAAACTGAGAAATTTAATACAGAGATACTTCAGCAACAAGAAGTCATCATTTTCTGAATTTTATTTCTAATTTGAGAGTAAATACGCCATCGGGTTTTGAAAAAAACCAGAATTTTTACTTCAAAAGTTGTGTGTCCATCTCTTGCTCCGAAAGTCACGGGGATGACATTTGCTTTGATGCTTTAGAGATGAGTAACGAGCTTGTTATCACAATTCATGTTATCTTTTTAGAACATATTGAAAATTTATTGAAAAATTTAAAAGACATTAAATATTTTCAAATTAAGTCAACAGTTGCTACTGTTTGTAGAAATGGAACATTTCAATTGAATGATCTTATTCCTCCAATCAATAAAATACTACCGACAGGAAGATCTCGTGTTGATCATATATTGGATTCAAATAAACATGGTACATTAAAAATATGGATGTAATGTTTTAATGTATTTTTTATTTTTTAGACGTTATTAATTAAGAAATCTGTCTTGTTTTTATACTTTTTAGATATTGTGTTGATTGTTTTTAGTTTTATCACTTTAATAAAAAAATCGAAATCTACTTGTATTTAGATGCAGGGGCGGATCCAGGATTCTACCGACGGGGTGGCGACTTCTAAACGATGTCGTCCGAAGTAGTATGAATATTTTTTTCTAAGAAAGTCTGGTAGTGTTTTGTGAGGAGGCGGTGGTCGCTGGACCGCAGTGCTGCTAGATCCTCCACTGTTTAGATGTCTGTGTAAGAATTGCCGAAATTCTATGTGTTATTTGAGTCCGTAAATTTCATAGAATAGTGTTTTCTCTCCGAAATGAAATACTCACGAGATCTAAGATCTTAAAAGTGTAGACAGCTCAAGTTTATCAAAATTCAAACAAATATAGATAATTATACGATATCAAGACGAATGCTATTTAATTCAGCTCATCGAGCTGTATCGGACGATACACAGTATGGTTGATTTCGGTTTGTCAGTATGTTTTTAGGATTAAAATACTGAGAAAATCAAGAAAATGTTCAACGTTTCTTCCACTAATATTTTGGTTTCTAGCAGCCATGTGTCCAAGTGTCGGTAAAATATTGTATTATAGATAATCCTTTTTCTAATTTTCTAATTTTTTCCTCGACGTTCCACTGACTGTTATTTACTCATATATATCAATGTGAGATATGTACGGGTACAATTATTATGCCCGTATCCGAGAACACTAAAGTGCATAAAAACAACGAGTAAGAGCCATAAAATTAGGATCAAATGACACCGAAGGAAAGATAAACTTGAAATAATATAACGTTTTTCTAGAAAAAATATATATGTGTGTGTGTGAACAGTAGGGATGAGCGGTAACGGTAAAAACGTCTTACCGTTACCGATGCTTCGGTAACAACTTCAGATTTTTACCACGGTAATTTCTAACCGGCACTTTTACTGCGGTAAACTTCAATAAAAAATATTTTTACCGTTACGTACGGTAGGTTACCAATGACTACAGACTTTTTGATAATGCATGTAGGTTATTTGTTAAACTACGATGAATAGATTTATACATAGAAAAAAACAAGTTAACATGAATGAGAAACGTTCAAAAAGTCGATAAATACACCGTTTTTTCAGTCTAACGTAACGTTTTATTATATATTTGATTGAAGTTTTCCAAACTGTTGAGACTTTAGTTAATTTTTGAGTTCTTCTGCTATTAAGGATTGAATATTTTGGCTTATGTACTTTTTATCACAAGTTCGTTCAACAATGTCGTCACAGATATATCTAATTTTTCATTTATATTTTCTTATGCTTTATTTTCTGTTTATCTTGTTTTTGTATGATTTTTGTAACGCAGACGAAGGACACTCTAACTACATTATTTTCCAAAAAGTTTTTGAATAATATAAATTGTATTGAATTAAATATCAAATCTTTAATGGCTAAAACAGCAGACGCTGTTTATGCTCTCAAGAAATGTTTATCCACGATGCATTAAGCATAGCCACATTTAATGTCATAAATCAAATATTTTTATAATCGTAATAATGAAATTAAATACTTCCAAAAATGAGTGTGGTAACACTAATACCATTCCAGTAGAAAGTAACGAACTTAGACAAAAATAATAAACACTATCATTTTACGATGTAATTATAAAAATGCTAATTTAGAAGATTAATTTTCGAATTTCTGCTCTGTTTCCAACGATCTCAGTCGATTTTTATTTAAGCGTCCCTCCCCCGCTCTTTTTCGACCCTCTTGGAAACTGGGGAAGCCGATGTTTGATCGGAATGAAATTTATATTTGAGATAGAACATCGAAAAAGATAATCGATATATTTTTGCCCAGAATTCTCCGACATGTTTTTCTAATCCAGTCACATGACGACCCCTCGAAAAAATGGTCCGATGGATGTAAAAATCTTACTACAGATACTTTACATCCTATCTCAGGTTCGTTTTTTTCTTAGCAAAAACTATACTTTCCTTTTCGAGATATCCAAAAAATGCTGAAAATCAGACAGAAAAACTGAAAAAAACTGATTTTTTTCCGTGACTTTCAGCATTTTTCGTATACCTCGAGAAGGAAAGCATATTTTTTGCTAAGAAAAAAACGAACCTGAGATAGGGTGTAAAGTATTTGTAGTAAGATTTTTACATCCATCGGACCATTTTTTTTCGAGGGTTCATAATGTGACTGGATGAAAACCCATAGAAAAACATGTCGGAGAATTCTGAGTAAAAATACATCGATTTTCTTTTTCGATGTTCTATTTCAAATATAAATTTCATTCCGATCAAACATCGGCTTCCCCAGTTTTCAAGAGGGTCACAAAAGAGAGGGGGTGGTATCCTTAAGATTTTCGGCACTGAACAAATTTCTTAAAAACATTGTATAAAAAAATTTGCTCATGAATAAAAATTATTTTTAGTTTTGAAAATAACGGAAAATATGATTAAAATATCCATCGACGATGAATATTTTATCATTTATTGAATCATATGAACATCGGCTGCGCATATTTCATTAATATCATCATCTCATATATCACTAGTAAACTTGATTATAATATTACAGTGTCCATTAGGAGAAAATCAAGAAGGCACAAAAATTACTGTTGCATCTTAAGCGTTTGAGTTCCACACATGTTTGCTCTTATTGTTAGATTATCTGTTACCATATTTTGTGTCCCAAGGCGATCAGAATTAACACTGATACAATTTTGTTCTATGAAAGCTTTATTTCTGTTGATTAATCGTCCTCTGGATCAATTATTCAAATGTTTAACCGAGAAAACATTCTGTCGAGCACTTTGCAACATTCAGCGTTATAATAAAAACGTTACGTTTGAATGTATGTGTGATCAGGTATAAGTAAGTATCGTGTTTTTTTTGTTGCTTAGGAAAAAAGACACTTGTATCTCTACTAGTTGCAAAATCTTGAGAACTTTTGAAATAGATAGATGAAGTGAGATAGCTTACTCACAGTTTCTTTTATACGCTTTCTTCTGGACAAGAATTTAAAAGAGAATACAATTAGATTGAAAAGGGAATGTTTTGAATTTTTTGGAGGACGCAAATTTATTGGGATAGAAAAGAGAACGCATTTTGAATTAAAAATATTTAACTTTTACTATTTTCTCAATTACTAAACATGTCACTATATTGTAAAAAATGACATATTTAAAGAAAAAATAACAACTGTTTCCACAAAAATGTTTATTACATTGATGCTAAACGTGCCTTTTTCTAACTAACCGCCTAGAATATAACCATAATGAAAATTCATCATTAATGTATTCATCAAATAAATCATTACTAGAAAAATTTTCAGCAAAAGATCAAACTCTTCTTGTTATTTTTCAATAGAAAATGGAAAACTTAGTGAAAGATATAGTTGACTGGATATTTATATGAATGTTTTTCAGTTAGTTTTTTTTTGCGATTGCCTTATATGATTATTCATTAGGCGGTAAGTACTATACATCAATTTTTCCAAAATTTCTTGTTCCAAGAATTTATTCGAATTGCATAGATAAAGCAATGACTCCATAAAAGAGAAAAAAAAATAAGTGGCCTCTGACTAGAATCGAACCAGTACTATATGCATATCATGACATACAGTGTACCACTACCGCACAGAAACCGTATAGTGATATGTTTAGTAATTGAGAAAATAGTAAGTATTTTTAATCCAAAATGCGTTCTCTTTTCTATCCCAAATTAATTTGCGTTCTCCAAAAAATTCAAAACGTTCTCTTTTCAATCTAATTGTGTTCTCTTTTAAATATTTTCCCCTATCTTCTTGTTGGCAGCAATATATTAGGCACAAATCATGAACAAGATCAAACTGCATTTTTTTTCTTTTACACATAATCTTCTTCCAATAATGCAATTAAAGTATTCTTCAGTTTTATTATTTTTTCTAGAAGTTCTTTTTACAACGTATAATTTAGACTTTACTTAATGCCAATTATATCGTAAGTTGCCGTGCTAGCATATATCGTCATTCACGAACAGATATACAAGAGTTGCATCATGTTTTTGATGCAGACAAAACAAACAAAGTAAGTTATAAAATTGATGGTTTTGTGCTATATGGAGAACAAGATTTATTTCGACGCTATACAGAATTTTAAAAAAGTCTAAATTACATCAGTAGCTGTAAATGTGATGAAATCATAAATTCTTAACTCCCACCTCCTCTAGACCTTGTTCACGTAACGAATAACGTTGAAAAACTTTGAACTTGTTTTATTTTGTTGGTTAAAGTTAGGATAACAAGAGATACTTGATTGAGTATCGAGTTTTTTGAATCTGACTCGAAAACTGCTCGACGTTTTCAGAAGATTCTTGACTCAACGTACAATATAATACTGATCTACCACGGTATTTAATAGCAAGTTTTTCTCATCAAAAACAGACGAGAGCTCGCAAAATTAAGACCCAAAAGTATCTCTTTTGATTTAAATACAGGTGCTTTACTGTTCGTTTTTTTTTCTGTTGAATGTATCATCCTATATCTAATTTGTATGGGTAAATATACAATCAAGTGTCTTCTATTCTATACACTTACAATCAAAGTAAAAACTATGTTTTGCGTTTGAGTAGAATTAATTACAAACAGAGTTCCGTGAAGATTTCTTCAAAAACCACCTACAACTCATTATTTTTTTTGTAAAATGCTTTTTCGTACGTCGATTGTTCATTAAAAAAAATAAAAAAATTTTTCTAGAAAATTTAATTCTCTGTCTCATAATGTAGTTTTTTAAAATTTTAATGTAAAATACACGTAGGTCAAAAAATTCAAAAAACAAATTTTTATTTTAAATTTTTTTCATCTAAAATTTAGTTTTCATTCCACAATTGATATATGCATAATTAGTGTGTAAAACTGTTTCTGCTGATGTATATTTAAAATTTATTACTTATCTAAGAAATTTTTTTTACTTCAATTCTCATTCTAACGATTAGAATTGATTTGCCAAGTCATAG